ATTGATCATAACCTCTAATAGAAGATTAAATGAAAACATATATAGAATATATTGTTGTATTCACTTAAAGAAAATAGAAACAAACATTAAAATGCATTTCTTCTTATAAGTGTAAAAAATAAAATCAAAGACAAAAAATAGAAATGAATATTTCACCAGGGTTACCCCTACAAATGTATCTAAGTCCATATGTCCTGACAACACAAGATGTTTTAAAACACATTTGATTTCATATGGGGCAACACCTTCAAGAATAACATGCATGATATCTTGTGGGGTTTGATTGATTATATCAAAGTAAGGAAATTCCATTAATTTGCTCCTCCTGTTTACACCATGAGTTGTTTTTAGACTCTCTCTCAGAAAGTCAGTGGTTGCCTTTTCAATGTCGTTGCATTGCTTGTTGTGGTTTGCCATTGTCCTTTTAACAAACATATCTTCATTAAATTGTTTCTGCATGTTTTCAAAGTTGCACTCACAGTGCCTGCATTTACTATAGGCAAACCCTACTCCTTCCTTAAATCCAGCCACTTCATGCTGAGCTAGTGTGTCTCCACATACAGACAGAAGTGCTCCATAAATTGTCCTCGCACCATTTGCAGTATCAATCTGCACACCATCGCACAGCTTAAGTAAGTCATGTTGAATTCTCTCAAATATTGCATCAATACCGCAACGAGAAAGATCTTTTGATTTTACCATGGCAAGAAGACGAATTGCAGCAAGTCTTGATCTGTATTTAGGGCTGATGTTACCTAAGGTGTAATAAATCATTAACAATTTGTTTTTGTTTGACCGTGATCCAAGAGGATTGCATAGCTCAATTTCATCTGTGTAAAAAATCAACCGCAATGCTTTAGGAACTTTCAAAAACAGTGGGTGTGACTTAAAAATGTCTCCATCAACAAAATCTTGAAAAAAGCCATCATTGCTTTGCTGTTGCCCTTCATCAATCATTGCAAGAACTCTTGAATGGGATAGCAGTTGCTCCAAACTTTTCACCAGCGGTACATAATGAAAACAATGGTCCTTGGTGGAAAGAACTCTGGAGTCCCCATGTTTTACAGAACATACAGTTTGTTTTGCAACAACAATTTCAGGTTCAACTGGTTGTAGCAGTTCTTTGATAGTTTTATTCTGCAAATGAGTGGAGGAAATTTGACTGAAAGGGTCAACAAACTTGTCAAAGATCCCTAATGCTCCACTCCTTAGTTCATCCAGGTCCCCAGAATGTCCTTCAATCAAGCTGCACATTTGCTGTTTAAGGTGATCCAACAACACTGCCTGGTACTGCTGGACTCCACTCACCATATGGTTAACAGCCCTCTGAATAGAAAATATATATATATATATTAAAATTTATTAGAAAATACAATAAAATGCAAACTCATGGACACACCTTTGTAGGGATCCTTCATTTAGATATTGTTGGTGACATGAAAAGACCAAAACTTTACTAAAGTACTAATGGTTTCTGCATATTTATATTTACAATTGATTTTATAGTGCATTTTAAACAATAAGTGTACATGTGTATGCTCTGTTTTCTCTATTCTTAGCCTATGCTCAGCAAAWACACTGAATGAAGAGATTTTATACACAAAGTACATATCTATTGACTTATATATATTGAGTGGTTAAGTGAAATCCAATCACAAAGTCACTCAAATAGCAAGTGGAGAAACATTCTAATTKTATGTTTCATTTKACCTAAAGTAAAATCCAGGTCTGAACAGTGTCCAAATATGAAATACAATTTGAGTTGTTGAAATTACCTGTGTCAGTCGCTGTGTTTCTCTGGCTTGAAGGAGAAAAGCAGTTGCATGTTTCGAAAGGTCCAGATTCGTGTGACCCTCTCCACCCTCTTGAAACTTGCTCTGAAAAAGATTACCGAAATAACCACATCAACAAAGAATATACTGGTGGGTAGCAGACATTAGAACAGTAAATACATGAACCTTTAAAGAGAATTATGTAAAAATGTGTGTGTGTGTGTGTGTGTGTGTGTGTGTGTGTGTGTGTGTGTGTGTGTGT